GAGGACGGGGCGGGAGGGGGTGGCGGGGCGCAGCCGGCCGCGCAGCCCGGGACCCCGGTGTGAGCCGCATCCATGCACGCGGGTGAGCGCATCCCCATCGCGTGTGCGTGTGCGTGCGTGTCGATGAGTAGTGTTTTGGGGTAAGAGTTCTCCACTTCTGAAACATTTATGCTTCACTTGAAAACTGTGAACTTTCTCTTTTACGTACCGGGGTTTGAAAAGCTCTAACGTCCAGCCCAAGAGACAATAACTTACGGGTTCTTGGAATTCTCTCCCCTGAAATCACAACCTGGAGGATGGTTTTTTTCTTAATTTGGAAGAGACAGTTTACCAACCGCTCGGGAGTTGGTTTCCAGGATTCTTCGGAGGGGCCGCAAAGGAGAGCCTGAGTGGGTAGGGTGACCACAAAGCTTGGCCCCAGGGCGCCTTGGAGGAAGCCGGAGAAGTTCCTTCCTCCTGCACCTCTTACTTCCGCTGCTAATTAAGTTTTTATGCATTTCATTATCAGGGTCCAAAAAGAACAACTGATGGGGGGTGGCGGGGGTAGGGTGTTGTGCAATACAGCGATTCTGTGACGGTGGGGTGGGGCCGGGCCGGGAGGGGCCTCGGGCCGGTGGTGACTGGGGGACGCCCACCTTGTCCAGCCCGCACTTAGTGGGCTTTTCGCTTTAGGAAATGAGGGGAGGTCAGTGCTGTTCAAGCTTTGTTCCTTTTTTAAAGCAAATACTGTACATGTGTATAAATAGGAGACAGACGTACACTACTTATTTTTTATATTTTTTACTACATTTTTGTGTTGCTGGTTTGAATTGTCCCCTCTGGTAACGTGACAGAGCGCTGGCACTGGTCAGCGTGGAGGTGGGGCTGGGAGGAGGGAGGCGTGGGGTGCGCCCACCTGGCAGGTAGACTCAGGTGGTGGCTCGGTCAGCGTCTGAGAAGAAGATCTGCCCCTCCCCCCCCCCGAACCCAGGTAGGTGCCTTCCACCCCTTCGGCTCCTGAGACCCTCAGTATTAGGCAGAGGTGATGCTGCCCGAGCAGGTGGCATCTGTAGAAGCCAAAGATTGCCGAGCTCCCCAGGGTAGGGAGGCTCCCACCCTCCTCCTGCCGGCCCTGCCGCCCCTGCTCTGTGGCTCTTTCCAGGGACAGCACACTCTGTGGCGCCGGCCGCAGAGAAGCCACCTCAGCCTCCTGTCGCTCGCAGGGAAGGTTTGGGCCAGGTGGGCACGGGGGCCTTGGGCCCTGGCCTCGGCCTTCAGCTCCGCGGGGGCACCGTCCACCCCGCAGCCGCCTCCCCCTTTAATAAATCTCTGTTCTAACGCCGTCGATCAAAGGCCTCAGAACCGTGGCAAGCACTTTACTCTCAGCGGATTTCTCTCGCCGTTGGTCGCGTTCCGTTTTGTGTCCGGCGTGTGCAATGCGCGTGCTGGAGGTTTCTCGGCAGCGTGTCCTGCAGACTGAACACAGGAGCCTGTTCAAAGGCACTGCGAGGTCTGATTAAGATGTACATAGTTTGGGATTTTCTTTTTCTTTTTTTTTTTTTTACCATAACTGAATTATTTCTTATGTTAACATGAGAAATGTATGCCAAATGATTAGTGGATGTATGTTTTTTAATTTAATATTTAAATAAAATGTTTGGGGAAGAAACGTTGACCCCTCCCCTCTGTTCTCCGTGAGAGCACCTTTCTTCCAGCCTCTTCCTCCAGGTCCGTTGAGTGTCAGGTACCTGCTCCCGTTCAGCCCCTAAGCCACAGGCACAAGCCCCTCGCCCGGCAGGAGCAGCGGGCGCTCGGTGGTCGGGACCTGGGCAGGGGTGGTGGGCGGGGGGCAGTGGAGCTCAGACCCCTCCCCAGGCAGCAGGGCCTGCTAATCCACTGATGTCTTAACACCAGGTCTGTTTTCAGCTGGTCCTTCCCCTCCTAGGGCACCGCTCACTCTTCCCTCTCCCCCCAGAATGTTCTCCGAATCCACCTGTGTAAATCCAGGCTTGGGAAGAATCTCACAGCCGAACTATTTCCTGGTCTTTTAGAGTTGGCTTCACCATCTTCTACCAATAGGGCAGGCGTAGCTCCTAAAAGAACAGAGTTCCCTTCATTCGGAAGCCTGCCAAGTATTTTTTGGTAAAAAACTTTCTTTAACATCTTCACTCCCATCAGGATGGTCATTATCAAAAAAAAAAAACCAATAAACTGTTTGCAAGGATGCAGAAATTGGAACCCTGTGCCTTGCTCATGGGAAAGTACAGTGGTGCAGCTGCTGTGGGAAACGGTCCTGCAGGTCCTTGAAAGGTTAACCAGTCACCATATGATCCAGCAATCCCACTTCTGGGCCAAGACCCAAAAGAACTGAAGGCAGGGTCTCACAACAGATACCTGTGCACCTGTGTTCATAGCAGCATATTCGCTATAGTCCAGTTGTCAAAGCAGCCCAGTGTCCATCGGTGGATGGATGGACAAACAAAATGTAGTTCAGCCACGGGATGGAATATTATTCCGCCTTAAAAAGGAAGGATGTTCTGACACGGGCTGAAACACTTACGAACCTGGAGGATGTTGTGTTCAGTAACATAAGGCAGACACAGAAGGACAAACGCTGCGTCCACTTACATGCAGTCCCTGGAAGAGTCAGACTCAGGCAGAAAGCAGGAGGGTCAGGGCCGGGGCCTAGGGGAGGTGGGGAGAGTGAGTGACTGATGGGGGCAGAGTGTCAGTTTGGGAGAGACAGAAAATTCTGGAGATGGATGGTAGTGATGGGTGCACAGCAATGTGAGTGTCCTCAGTGCCACTGAAATGTTCACTTAAAAATGGTAACTTTTATATGTATTGAACCAAAGTGAAAAGAAAAAGGATTGTTTGAGGGAGAGATGCTGAGACAGAGAGAGGACCTTCCTCCTGGAGAGCAGGCTCCGGGTGAGGGGTCAGCGCAGCCAGGCTGCTGTGGGGGTGGGCTCTGCGGGGGTCCCGTGGAAGCTCAGAATTTTGCACACCCCCCAGGAGTGTCAGTGTGTGCTGCTTAAACTCCAGGGCCCTTCAGATGGCCTATGCACGGTGGCCTCTCTTGCAGCCCGTGGGTTCTGAGAGGCTGGGAT